TACTTAAGAAAAAAATTATAAATATCAATCAAATTATATATAAATTTAGTAATTTTTATAATTTTATCAATGTTTTGAAACCGAACCGACAAGAGAACCGATTTGCTCACCGGTTACTGGTTTGACTGGTTCAATCGGTTCAATCGATCAACCGATCGAGTCAAACGCACACAGTCATAAAAATGCAATTTTCAGCTTTGGGCATTTTCAGAATCTGCATATATAATCCAAGATTCGAGGCAGGACTTCAAAAGAATCAAAATCCCACACGAAGGAGAGCGCGATTGTGTTGGCCAAGTTCGAGGAGCTGAACCACATCGAAGCGAGCCTGGGAGCAGCGGATCTGTCGTTGGCTCTTGAGAACGACGAGACGAGAGAGAGTGAGGGTGACGAGCTTGTTGAACTTGGCTGTCTTGAAATTCCATCCAAGTACAGCATCGAGCTTCCTCCCCATGCCTCTGCTCCTTGACTGACTGTTCTTCCGACTACAGAGCTGATCGGAGAGCACGATTGGAAGGGGGTAAAAACTGATGCTGGTGGTGCTGGAGGTGATGGAGACTGGAAAGCTGAAAGGGGCAAGAAATGATGCTGGCCATTGGCAGTGCTGGAGGTGATGGAGACTGGAGGAAACAAGCTGATCAGAGAGCAAGCGCAGTGGAGATCTGGAGCAGGAGATGCTGGAGGCCGGAGGGAGAAGTGGAACTTGAAGAAAGAGTCGATTAGGATGAATGAGACTTAGGGTTTCTAATTTTACGAATTTAAGTAATTAAGTTCAGATTTTGTGAATTTTATCCAAAATTGTAATGGGTTGAAGGGTAAAAAAGGTAACATCGAAAAAAAAAGGGGACAAAATAGACTAATCACTAAAAAATATGAAAAAAAAAGAGAGGAAAGAATGGTGTAAATGACCCGGCGAGTTTGCCGGGTCTTCCGGGTGGAATGGTTTTGCTGGTTCCACCAGGTTTGGGCAATCCAACCGCCCAAACGGGTTAGAGGTTTCAACCGACCCGTTTTACCTACCGGGTGCTGGTCGAACCAATCAAACCGACCAATCCGGTCCGGTTTTGAAAACACTGATTTTATTAATAATCATAACCGTATCTTATTTTATTTAAGAATTGTAATAATTGCATTCGTTGCTCATAGAAATTCAATCTAATTAAAGAAAGACTTGTTCATAAGTATTTTAGTTATTAAAAAAATAATATTTTCTTTCAATACCTTTTGTAAAGTTGTGAGAAAGTGTTTTACGGACAAGTGGAAGAATAAGCTTTATTAAACATCACTCAAATTAAAGTTTTAAATTATGAATAAATTCATTTCACTTCAATATTTACACATGAAATATGAAACAAATTTAAGGCCTCTGTATCTTACTGGCTGGGTTAAGATTTAATGGATAAAATTAAGTTCTTGTTTTCGCTCTTGGAGGGCATAAGAATTCTTCATTGCTGGGAATTAGGTTGTTCATATTTGATTTATGGCTTATTTGGTATAATGATTATAATTTAGTGGATAATGCATAACAGGTAGTAGATAATGGATGGAGGTTACATATAGCAAGGAATAATTAATAGTAGATAATAAATAATAAATTCGATTAATGTCATTATTTAATTATATAATAGTTAATGATTTTTGTTTAAAATTAAATAATTGATAAAGATATATTTAAAAATAATTAATGTAATGTTTTCTTTATATATTTTTTATTATTAAAGTTATTAATTTTATAAAAATAATAATACGTAAATAAATAAATAAATAAATTATAATAATGCAATCATACACTAATTTTCATTTTTAATTTAGAAAAAATTATATTAGTTTTAAATAAAGTACAAAAAAATTTTGATTCTTTTTGTCTAATTAGTAAATTTTATTTATTAAGTTAATATATTTTTTATAATAAATTAATGTAAAAAAAGATTGAATAATTACTTAATATTATTAAAGACAAAAAATAATGTTGAAACTAATTAGATAAATATTAATTAAAAATAGTAGAAAAAATTAAAAAATTATAATGGATAAATTTGTTAATAAAATTAAAAAATTCTAATTCATTAGTGGTTTACTACAAAAAAACTACTTTAGATAACTTTTTTGATATACTAACAGTTTGGACTCTAATAGTTATCTACTAGTTTCAAATCATTAAATAAAAAATTTTATCAAACAATTAATTTGTAACGGTTTCAAAATAAATAAATTTATCAAATATCTATTCTTAGTAATTTGAACAAAATCACTAACCATTACCTCCAAACCACTATACTAAATGAACCCTTAATCTGATTAATTCGACACAAACTGATTCAATTTAATAAAAAATCAAATGAAACTAATATAAAATTAGATTAGTTTAAATTATAAAATTTTAAAATCAATATAATTGATTTAGTTTATGGTTTTATCTTCAAGTTACTTGAATCACTAGATTACAAAATAAAACTCAATTACAAGATAACTTAATTAAATAATATAATATATTTTTGTAATATTTTAAATTTTCTTTTTCTTATTTTACAAAATAATAACTCTATTAATTTAATTAAAAATAAAAATAAAACATTCCTATATTTCCTAATTTATTTTCTCTTATTAATTATGCACTCTAATTTTAACTCTAAATTTTTAATTTACTTGCAATTCTAAATCTTAAAATTGATCTATAACTCTACTCTTAAAATCTTAAAATTTTAATTTATTCATAAAATGATAGTTGATTCTCCTAGTTACGTTTTAAAGAAGTATAATTTTAAAAGTTTTAAAACTATATAATATAATTAGTTTTGATATTCTACTATTCTTGAATATTTAGTTCAAGAGTTTTAAATTTTAATTATCAATGTTTCTAATTAATCCTAATGATATTTATATGAAATTTTATTCATTTTTAATAGGATTTGGAAGATGGGATTGAATCATTGGTATGTTAAAAAAAAAAACTAGTTTTAATTTATAAGAATTACTTATAATGTATTTGAAACTTATAATCATGTATCTTTTATTATTCTTGATATTTCTGGTAACGTAATTATGAATAATTTTAAAATTTTTTTCAATATTTATAATTGTAAATGAATATAAGAATTTGTTTATAATTTTTATCTTTTATTATATTTCTACTCATTTTGATGTTAATATAAATATGCTTTATAGTTACATTTTTTATTTAATGTTAAAATTTTTTATATTATTTTATATATTTAATAATATTAAAAATTAACTAATCTGATCGAATACCATAACAATTCAATTTAAGTTAAATTAATTTAATTATCATATAATAATAAATTAACTTAATTTAAAAATTTTATTAATCAATTAAATTAATTTAATTTAATTTAAAAAATATTAAAATTCAAATGATGAATGAATAACTATCACGCGCTGAAATCTTGAAAGAACAATTTATTTCAACACGCAAAAACAATCAATTAATGTAGGCCTAAATATTTTATGAAAATGACACATCCATGTTTCTTTTTTTGACCAACAAAAATGACCCATCGTTACCAAAAGAAAAAACAAAAACAAAAATGACCCATGCATTAATCGTCCAAAATTGCAAATGTCATTAATATATATAAATAAGTGTTTATTTATATATAAGTTATTTTACATATAGTAATAAATTCTTATTATATATTTGAAAAAAATTTTAAATTATACATTAATTGTTAAAAAATTATTTTAATTTTATTAACTATGTGATTAAAATAAATTACTTTATATTAATGTTAAAAGTAAAATTAATTTTTGAATTTTTTAATATGATATAATATTAAAAAAATATTTTATAATTTTTAATTT